TCACATCAATCAATCCATGAAATCCTTGACAGTTAAACTGAGTCAGGTAGGGAGGGAGATGCACACTTCCGGGTTGGGGCCTGCCCTCGGGACTCTAAGAATCAATCAATGGCTGGAGACAATAGGTGACATGGCTCAAAATCGTTGTCAATGGCTTACGGAGATGTATTCAGTCTCTGTAATATTCAGTGTCATATTCCTTTCTACCATTACTCATTCTGTTCCACTCTTACACTACTTGTCAAAACTCTACTGATTCCCTTCACTCATTTTCTTGTCTACCACCTTTGTGTGTGCTATTAGGAACGTGACAACTCGACCTGCTACACTTTCGGTGCCAAGTTCTATGTTGAATCCAGTCAGCCAGCCAGCCAAATAGCGGTGTTTAGCCAAGACGACTGATATTCTGTTGACCCTGTAGTTCATTAGATTAAGTACTTCACTTTCACTAATCTCCATGACTCCAGATACTTTTTAAGCCACAGGTGTGTCTGTCTGACAGATAACGTAACATCCATGTTCATATGTATGTGGTTATTGTTTTGTTCGCCTTCTCTTGCCTTTACCCTCTACCCTATGATAGTAACCATTTTGACTTACTACTATTACATAGTAAGTAAGGTTGCGTTTTTTTTTCTTCTAAAAAAGTCTGACGTCATCCATCTTTATGTGTGTTTGCTGGCACACACACACACAAACCACCGGATTCTTCTATTTTACTTGACATTTAAAATGACAAAAACCCGACTGTGTGCAGATATTTCTTTTGATGATTCTTTTAAAAGTGTTAAATGTGTGTGTGTGTGCATTAATTAAATTAATTAATAAATTACTCGTCATCATTTGTACACATTAGTAATAGTAGTAGTGGTAGTAGTATTATTGCTTTACTTACTGAGTAGTCTACTTTTTCTGACTTTATTTTTTTTGGTTTCAACTGTGTGTAGGATGTTGAATATTTTCATTTGGTGAATTACATGTTTGATCTTTTTGGATTGCTGAAAAATGTTCTTTTGATTTAGTCATTTGTTTTATGTGTGTTTATATTTGATATATGTATAATACACTCTGTGGTATGTATTATGAATAACTAGATGATGATGATGGTGTTTTGAGCACAGTTGTGTTGCTCATATCTTTCTGTCTGGACTCGACATAGAACTTGGCACCGAAGTGCAGCACTTCGAGTTGCCACGTTCCAAATAGCACACACAAAGGTGGTAGGTAAGAAAAGTGAGTGAAGGGAATCAATGGAGTTTTGACAAGTAGTATAAGAGTGGAACAGAATGAGTATTGGTAGAAAGGAATATGAGACTGAATATTACAGAGACTGAATACATCTGCGTGTGCCATTGACAACGATTTTGAGCCATGCCACCTATTGTCTCCAGCCATTGATTCTTAGAGTCCCGAGGGAGGGCCCCAACCCGGAAGTCTGCATCTCCCTACCTGACCTGACTCACTTTAACTGTCAAGGATTTAATGGATTGATTGATGCCATGTTTTTGTTTGGCCACCACATCTTACTCTTTTCCAACCTGCACCTATATCAGCTAGTAATGCCCGTCCGCCGGGGGGAGGCGATGGTTAGGCATGCGCAGCACGTGACCTAGCCATCTCAATTTATGTAACTTTATAGCCTCTTCGATTGATTTTCCCTCTTTGCCCAATACTCTACGCCTGACGTCAACATTGCTTACCTTATTATACCACCTAACGTGAGAGATAGATCGTAAACATCTGTGGTCAAAAACAGACAATCTCTTCATGTCTTCAACTCGTATTGGCCATGTTTCAGAGTCATAGAGAAAGACGGAGCGAACTGCTTATATCATTGATTTCACGCAACCTGATAACTTACCTTATATAGTTGTCGTATTCCTGATTATCACTCTCACTCTGTTTCCACCTAACTATATTACTTTTTAATACTTTTATCCTACCTCAAGCTATTGTGTGTGTGTGTGTGCAAGTGGTGGGGATACAATACAATCGTTCCGAGCTTTTTCCAGCTTATTTAGCCCACTAAAGTTCGATCATTCTAGATATGAATGAACAACTTGAGTGAGCAACAATCTTTGTATGTTTGATATGCGATTCACTCCTTATGTCGTATGTAAAATGATGCTTCAAGACTGGACTCTACATAGACTTCTAGCTTAAAGATAGGAAGTGAACTGGTGACTACTGAGCATGATGTTGACCACTTCACTTACTATTTTGGGAAGTTGCATCACCTCCAAAGATCTGATCGCTGACGAAGAAATCTCAGGACGGAGACAAAAGGCCCGTTCAGCATTTGCCAACTTATGCCATCTCTGGTTTAGAAGACGTGATATCCCCAAGCTGGCAATTCAGTTGCTGCATCTCCTCTGTATGGCAAAGTCGTTGATCACATTTCCCAGTGGAGGATTCAGTAATCTCGGTTTCACAATTTATTATTATATTATCTAATCGCTATGTGACAATAATTATTTTGTCTCATGTTAGTTTCCAGAAGGATATCTCGTTTGCCGTTCTATGTAAGGAAGTTAAGACCATCTGGTATTATTCCTTCTTTACTGTTACAGTTTGTTAGTTCTTGTATACTTGTTCACTGTTCCCCACCTTAATCCTTCCCAGGCTACTTAAGAAACACTATTTTGCTGTACTGCGTAAGGCACTAAAAAAAGCTGTCATTAGGGTGAATGTGGTGTTGCTAAACCAACTCGTTAATACGCTTGTAGATAGACGCATGGATTCCTGAAAGAAATTGGTGAATAATATGTTGTCAGACCCTGAGCATCCTCTCTATACACAACTCTCTCCACGTTTGCATCCCATCGGGTAGAACTAGGATTAACTATAGAAGACTGTATTCTCGAATGACTTAGCAAAATAACTCCACAAAACCTTAATTGCCAGGCGCATATTTTATATGATGAGAAAGGTGTATTATTATTATATTATTGTTCCCTTGGGTTCCTAGTGGAACATAGGGCTTCAACTGCACGTCTCCACTTGCTTCTGTCTTCTGCTGTACTTTTCACCTGCATCCATGTTAGTCCGTACTGTTTCAACTCTTCTTCACACGATCTCCTCCATGTCACCCTTGCACTGACGTCCCACTCGCCGCTTCTCTTTCGGGTTCCACTCGAGCGTTGGCCTGACGCTCGATGTCACCCAGTGGCCTACTCAGCGAGTGTCCAATCCATCTCCACTTTCTCCTGCATATTTGTTGAGCGATTGGTTCTTGTTTTTTTTTGTTCCCATGGTTTCTTGTTGGTGATTCTTTCCGGCCATCTGATCTTGAGTATAGAGCGAAGAAAGCTGTTGATAAAGGTCTGCAAATGAGAAAGGTGTAAGGCAGGAAATTGACAACTTACTGCGGAACTCTAAGTAAACGCCTCCATTATTTTTCTTTCCCTTGTTACATTGTTGCTAACATTTTCGCTTAATTTTAAATTCATTTTCCCGTTGAAGATTATTATCCGTGTAAGAATACCCTGTTTCAATTATTACCCATGTTATCAGATGCAAAACTGTACTGTACTACATGTTGGAAATTCCATATTTCATTGGTTGGAGGATTTCATCATGAGCTGACATCAGTTACAGAACCATTGGAAAACCAACAGGAAGTACTGGACAGTCTTCCATTTCGTTAGTCCTACTTTCGGGCTCTTCAGCAGCAAGCACTTACCGCAGGAGGTTCGAACCCAGCACTTACTGGTTACAAGTCTAGTGAGCTCATAGACCATTAAGCCACTGGGACCCAAATCAATGGTCAGTCCATGAATTCATGATATGGGCGCTATGTCATGAATTAGCAGAAGTGAGAATTCATGCACTGATAATTGGATCGGGTCGGGTCCCAGTGGCTTAATGATCGTTTGCCTTGTAGCTGGAAGGTCTTGGGTTCGAACCCCCCTGTGGTGGGTGCGCTCCGATGAAGAATCCCAAAGTAGGTTTGACGAAACAGCTGTCCAGTACTCTCTGTGGTTGGTTTTCCAATGGTTCTCCTGACTGATGTCAACTCATGATGATGAAATCCTCCAACCAATCAAACAAATTTCTCTACAAAATCAATACTTGAAAATTCCATATTTGTATGAAAAGTATTGTCTGAACTAAAGCCATGCCAACTATACATTCATCATTGCTTCACTAATATAAATACTTCTTTATATGGCAAAACTATGAAAATTTTGAAATACTTATTACTTATTAATTAATATAAATGAGTCTGTCTCTGTCTGTCTGGATTCAACATAGAACTTGGCACCGAAGTGCAACAGTTCGAGTTGTCACGTTCCAAATAGCACACACAAAGGTGGTAGACAAGAAAATGAGTGAAGGGAATCAGTAGAGTTTTGACAAGTAGTATAAGAGTGGAACAGAATGAGTAATGATAGAAAGGAATATGAAAGATTACATAGACTGAATACATCTGTATATATATAAATTGGTGTTTTTCACCAAAGTGGCAGGGCGAAAGCGGATGCCCGGCGCTCTTCACCGGGTTGACTGTCCATTGGATGACAGTCTAGGGGAGATGGCTAAACCCTGATTCCAAACCTCCAACGACTGGCGTATGAAGCTCACTGGAGCTCACCGCCAGACGTATGGACAAAGGGCTTGTTGGAGGTCCTGGATGTCTGTCCTCATTCAAAAAGGCGTATGAACCGAACTCCGGTCACCGGCTGCCAATGGATAGTGGACTCCCTACTCCACTCCTACTGCCTTGTAGGTCACACTTGGTTGTGTAAAGGCCAGAGCTGCACTCTCAAACAAAAGGCCGAGCGATTCTGGGGACATCACTCGTACCAAATTCCCATGAAACTTCATGAACTCTCTTGGCAGCGATGATTCGAGATGTTCATGAAGCCGGCTCATCCTCCCTTAGGAGATAGCCGAAGTAAAGTAAGTAAATGAATATACGTTTTAGTGTTAAAAATGCATTCTATTGTTTTTATTTATTTTATTCTTTGTTTTTTTTTGTTGCTATTTTTCCTTATTAGTGAATGTGATCCAAATGGTGGTGGTGAGTTGACACGTTGTTCATCAAGTGCTGCAACAACGCGTACTGCTTGTCTTAAAAAGCCTACTATAACTGAATCCAAACTGTCAACACTATCCAACTGTCATAGTCTGCTGCACACAGCTAATACTACTACTGTTCCTAAGCACACATGTAAATCTTTAAAATCTCTGTCTGTATCGAATACTGATGATAACAGTCGGATTATTATTGAAGTATCCAGTAGTAGTGGCGGTGGTGGGGGTGGTAATGTATGTCCACATATGAATTCACCGGATTCCTCCTCCTCCTCCTCCTCCTGCTCATCATCATCATTATCATCGTCTACAACACGTGGTGGTGGTGGTGGTGGTAGAACATTGATATTCAATTCTAGTCCCACATCAACGTCATCATCGTCGTTGTCATCTCATATTCTACCACATCATCATCATGTTCATTTTACACATCATCATCATCATCCTATGGCGGCAGCGGCGGCGGCTGGTGGTGGTGCTTCCTCTTCGTCTTCTGGTCATCAAATACATGATGAGATATCAATCATTAATAATAATAATAACAATAATAATAATAATAATAATAATGCATTACCTCTTCATCATCAACACTTACATCATCATCACCATCATTATGTTCGACATCATTCTGCATCATCGTCTATTGATGAAGATGATGATGATGAGGATGTTGACGACGACCCAACAATTCATTCACATGATCCCCATCATTTACATCATCAAAATTCTATAATGGAAAAACCTTCTTGTCTAATATTGGATGATACTGCTGCTTCTGCCACTACTATCACCAATCATCAAAGTCAGGTAAGGATTTCATTGTGGCTTATTTCTATTTTTTTTATATATATATATATTTATATATTTTCTAATAATCTCCTCGACTTAGAATATGCGGACGATATAGTCCTTCTAGGCAAGGACGCTGACAAAATGCAGAGTCTACTGAACACCTTGAGCTGCTGCAATCTTTGTATGTTTGGCATGCGATTCGCCCCCCTGTAAAATGTAAGATGATGCTGCAGGATTGGACTTCACCGACCCCTAGATTAGAAATAGGAAGTGAAGTGGTAGAGCACGTTGACCGCTTCACTTACTTGGAAAGTACCATCAGCTAGTGCCAACGGATTGATCTCCGACGAAATCTCAGCACGAATACAGAGGGCTAGTTTCGCATATGCCAGTTTACGCCATCTCTGGCGTAGACGTGATATCCGACTATCGACCAAAGGGCGTGTGTACTGCTCAACAGTCCGCTCCGTCCTCCTTAATGTCTGTGAGACCTGGCCATCGAGAGTGGAAGACATGAAACGAGTAGTTTTGTTCGATCATAGGTGTCTGCGTTCTATCTCCCGCGTGAAGTGGTATAATAAGATGAGCAATATTGAGGTTAGGTGTCGAGTGCTAGGTAAGGAGGGGAAATCAGTCGACGAGACTGTGAAATTTCATCGACTGAGATGGTTAGGACATGTGTTACGTATGCCTAGTCATCGCCTTCCTCGACGGGCAATGTTAGCTGATATAGGGTCAGGCTGGAAAAGAGCTAGCGGCGGTCAAACGAAAACGTGGCACCAGTCAATGAAATCCACAACAGTTAGTCTAAGCCACGTAGGAAGGTGTAGACTTCCTGACTGGTTGGGTTCCTCGGGACGGTAAAAACCAATGGTTGGAAACAATTGATGATATGGCTGAAAATCCTCGTTCTCAATGGCTGGTGCAGATGCATCCACTCCTTGTGACTTATAATTTCCAATGAAACTGTTTTGTTCTTCGTTATTACTATTCCTTTGTCTCACACCTTTGTTTACTGTCTATAGTATGCATTTCTCCTACTTTCTTCTCTTGCTTTGCGTGCTCAACATGGATGGAGTGTGGCGACTTGAACTGGCGCACATATGTGCAAAGTTCTACGTGGAAAACCGACCGACTGACCTTCACTAGCATAATTTTTCTATACTGACTCAGATGCGCTTGCCTTCTATCTCCTTGTTTGAGGTTATTGAGGTTAGGCGTAAAGTTCTAAGTGAGTGTGATGGTAAGTCAAGTCATTTAGATAGTGAAACTATATCGATTACGATAGATAGAATATGTCTTTGGTGTATGCTGAGCTGAGCCAAGCCGACTGGAATCATCGCCTTCCTCGTTGAAGAATGTTAGCCGACATAAGAGATTAGGTGGTGGGAAAAGAATTGTTGAATTGTTGTCAATACCAAACCTGGCATCCATCAGTCCATGAAGTTCCTGACAGTCAGCTATTTTAAGCTAACCACTAAAAGGGGAGATGTAGGCTGTCTTGTTGGAGAGAGAGGCAGGCGGTGAGGAGTCCTTGGCATGCTAAGAACCAATGACTTCTGGCTGTTGGTGATATATGGTCCATAGTCGTTTGCAATGGCGTAGAGGTATTCACTCTTTTTTGTCATCTCCTGAATCCATTGAGTTCTCCTGATTTCACACATGTGTACCACACACACTCTCTCTCTCTGTTGTTAGATTTCTGCCCATTACAGTTAGCTTCTTTTGAATGTTTTTCTTTTCTATGCCTTTTTGTTTTCCATTCAATGTGGCAATTTAAACTGGTACACTTCTGTGGAAAGTTTTATGTTGAAACTTAGTCAATCAGTGTATGAATGAAGCTGTCGGAGTAATACTTAATTCAAAAGTTAATTTAAAATTGACAAAGTCTGGGAGTGGGTAATACAAATGTAGTTTTTTTTGGGGGGGGGGATGAAGTTAGAATATATGCACGGGTGAGATTAATCTCTCTCTCCCTCTCTCTATGTAAAGTGAATCTCTGCATCTGTTTGTCTGGTTACGCGTATATTTGTGGTAGGTGGCGGCTCAATCAAACACAGGTGATGAGTTTCATGTGTGTGTTGCTTCATCTCAATTGCAATTTTGGTCGGTCAGTTAGAGTATCATTAGATTCTCACAACCAACATGTATGCGGTTACCTTTTTCTTATTTTTATTCCATAGGGTTCCCGGTTGAATATATGTAGGATCTTAAACAGCTCATCTCCATTTCACTGTGTTCTCTGTGGTGCTTTCTTATCACTAGCTCCACGACTGACTGACTGCTCATAAGCTTTCATTTCCTCCTCACGTGATCTCCATGTCATCCTCAAATTCCATTCGGATTCCCACTGCATAAGAGCCTTCGGTGCTATTGGTGTAATATCATGTGGCAACGACTCCTTCAGTAGAGTGTTACTCATGGTTACCGTCTGGTTGACTAGAGTAAATAAACTAACTTTCCAGTTGATAATTTGAAGAATCCACTTCCATTTAATCACAGCTTCATATTAACTTCTCGGCTCTTTCTTCTCATTTCTCTTGCAATTTAAGAAGCTTTCCCAACTTGCATTTTCGTATGCTTGATTTTGATTTCGTAGAAAGAAGAAACATTTGTTGATTGGCAACAGTTTGTGTGATTTCATCCCTTTGATTAAAGCGACTAACTGATTTATATTTATATATTTTTTCGGTCCGTTGAAGTTTCTGTAGCGATTGAGTTGATTTCCTGGGGTAGGTTCGTTAGCCTCACTCATAACCTTCCCTATTTATCTTGGTTGAAGATCGACTGGTAAATTAGACAAGTTTTTTCTCATTTTTTATCCTTCTATTATTGTTCCCTTGGGTTCCAAGTGGAACATAGGGAATCAGCAAGACACTTCCACTTTTTCCTATTCTCCATGGCCCTCTTCAGCTGGCCGGCCCCACGATTGTTCATACATTTTCATCCCCTCTTCACACGATGTCCTCCATTTCCAGCCTCTGACGAACACCCAACTCGTCGTTTCCTATTCGGATTCTAATCGAACGATGTCCTTGCGGACTATGTCATCCGATGGTGTCCTCAATGTGTGTGTGTCCGATCTATCTCCACTTCTTTTGGTATACTTTTTTTATCAATAGGTTCTTGGTTGGTTGGTTCATTCTCAGAGTTCCTCGTTGCTAGTTAGTTCTGATCGGCCGGACACATCTAATGTTGAGTATAGAGCGTTGATAAGAGTTTTTAGTGGTGGTAGCCTGTTGGAGATGCTTTTTGTGATACACACCCCAAGTTTTTCACCCACATAGAAGAATCGACTGATGGATGTAACATTGGTGTTGAATAGAATCCGAATTTTGTTCTTTATGTACTGAGGCCGGAGTGCAGTAGAATTTCAAACTGGATATCAGAGTGATGAAGGTGTCTGCCTTGCTTTTCCCTTTCTGACTGGGTTTGACAACCTCATCTATACCACCTATAGTTGATACGCTGCTGACCTAGATAAGTGAAGCAAGTGACACCACTTTCAAATTTCTCTCGTTGATAATGTTTGTTGTTTTTGTTGATTTAGTTTTTCTCTATGTTCACTTGAATTCCTGTCTTTGATGCCTGCACCTTCTACCACCAGTGTGTTGTTGGTTTTCGAACTTGTATGAAATGAGGCATAAATATTCGGTGAAATCCAGATCTGTTAAAGTCTTTCTATCGGTTCAGTGTATGCCTATCTTCTCGTTCCCCATAGTCAGATATGCATAAACATTTAGAAAACGGAAAGACTGAGCGAAGAAATATTTACTTTTCAATTAGATTCTCATCTCTGGCTCTACTCTAATATACATAGCATTTTTTACAATACACAACAGTTTACCAAACAAGTGGTGATATGTTTGTTAACAATAATTAAACAGTGTCAAAATGTCAATGGGTTGATAATTAACGAAGAAAATCAATGCAATTTTAAAAGGTAGAAATGGATAGAATAAATTAATTTTACAAGGATAACACGTAATTGAAGATGAAGTGGTCAAAATAAAAACAAAATAATTTGGACAATTATAATTTAATAGGGGGAGGGGGGCGACGTAGTCCTGTCTTGTAACGATGGCCATGGTAAGGAAAGTGGCTGTACACATTTCTTCTGTACACATAGGCTTGGTTTCTTCTGGTGGATTCCGATTGCTTCAGGTGTCTGTAGAAGACGAACTCGTAGAGCAAAGTTAAGATTAGTCGGAATGCGATAAATAATTTTAAATGTAGTATTCACATCAACCTTATGCTTCGTATCAACAAGGTGTGCTAAAATAGAACTACGAATAGATCTTGTTTGTCCCTTGCTTAACCACGCTGGATGATGTTCAGAAATACGACGATGAAACTGCCTAATTGTACGCCCAATATAGATGGCTCCGCAGCTGCAGTCAAACTGGTAGATACACATAGAAGAGGCAAAATTAGGTAGTTTATCCTTATTTCTTGAACATAGAATAGGGGTGGTTTTGAAGAGACAACGTACCTCTGCTGCATAATAAGCTCTTTCAACTGCATTCTTCAAGCGGTGTGTTATGATTTCACTGATGTTGTCACCGAGGAACTGAAATTTTATGAACATTGGTTTTTTCGAAACTGGAGCAATACTGACTCTGCTTGGTGCTTAATGGTATACGAGCTCGCCTTGTAACCAGAAGGTCCTGGGTTCGAATCCCGGTGGGCGCGTACTGCTGAAGAGTCCCAAACTAGGACGAAACAGCTGTCCAGTACTCCCAGGTTTTCCAATGGTTCTCTAACTAATGTCAGCTCATGATGAAAATCCTGTAACCAATCAAATCCCTACAAACCAACACTTGAATTCATATTCTTCTCAATAAATTTATCTGGATAACCATTTTTTTTCTAAGTAATTCTTTAATAATCTTAAGCTCCTCATTGAGGCAGTCGTCTGAACAGATTAACTTAGCTCTATGAACCAGACACTTTACCAGGTTACGTTTATATTTCAAAGGTACAAAACTGAAAAAATGAGTGTACTGACCTGTTATTATTATTATTATTCTTGATTAACGTGACACGAAAGTCTATTGGGGATGTATAAAGCTTAATCTTTTTTCTTCTTTTTCTTCTTCATATTAACTAATTATAGGAACAAAGAAAGATCAATGTTGTCATAGATGCTACTGGATGGGACAGTAATAATAACAATAATAATAATAAAGATTCATTGACTTGTCCCTCTGCTGTTAATCCTCCTCAGTGTTCAACACATTTAGATCCAAATCATCATCATCGTCATCATCATCATCACCATCATCATCATCATCCGCTTATTCATCATACTAATCCACATTCACATAATATTTATCATCCTTATTGTCGGCATAATGATAAATCAACAATTACAGAATTTGTACCTACAGCAGCGTCAACAGCATCAGCGTCGTCATTATCACCGTTGTCTGTAAAGTCTGGATCACCTGTCAACAATAATATTACAATGAGTGCTGCCTCATCGTCTAGTAACAATTCAACACTGTTGAGAAGTAGTAGTAGTGAATCAGATGGTACACGTGTTGAGTCGACTACTGAGTCATCAATTTCTGATAATAAGAAGCATCATTCATTTGATAAGTGTCATTACAATAATGATGATGGTGACAGTAATAACAATAACAATAATCATACTACTAATAATGCCAATACAAATCTAGTTGTCGGTGAATCCAGTTCTCATTCCTGTGGATTATCTCAAATTAATGCAAATAATAATTCTTGCCGAGAGAACGTCGTTATTCACAGTGAGTTTTTTTTGTTTTTGTTGAGATATTTATTCATAGTGTAATTGGAAGTCTATTGTGCTCTGTATACCCAATGACGATTTTTGTTTGTCTACTTTTTGAGTTCCTAGTGGAATATAGAAATTCAGGCTTTGAGGAGACCTTAAGCAGTCAGTAGCAGTGGTGTTGTTCAGCTGACGCCTAACCTTCCCTCTTTACACCAGGCTTATTATCAACTGGTAAATTACTGGAGGTGTAGAGGAGTTGTGCATCGTCAGCGGGGAATGTGGAAACCAAGTTGGCGAGCAATTCTACCAGTGGACCCTACGGACGCACAAGGATTATACGACAAAGTCTTCATATTCTCCTAATTCATTCAAACATATCTAATTTAATCATCAATCTGACGTGCAAAACACATAGGCGGTGTTAGCCAGTCGGCGTGAATTTTTTTTTCAAAAGCTGCAGAAAAAATTGGCTAGTGGTTTTTGATTGCACGACTGAATGTGAAATCCTTAAAGTAGTAGTAGTTGTTGTCGCTAGCTCGTAGATCGTTTCCAGGTGGTCATCTAGTATCCTGTTTGAAGTCAGTTCCTAAAATAAATCTTGGATGTTCGAGGCTATGAACCACGAGATGCATCGTATGTATGACGACTGGTGATGTTATTACTCAGACACTTAGGTTGAATTAGATGAAACAGGACTCGAACCTAAGACCCACCGATTGAAAAGTGAGTAATTGAAGTCAATTAGCTATGTCTCTAGTATTTGCTGGTCATGCATTCTGTTAGTAGGAAAATACACTACATGAAATTCTGAAGCAACAGTTGAATGAAATGGATTTGTTTCTCAACACGTTAGGCTCTCCAATTTGATCATGCGCTGGATTATGAGGACACACACACGAGAGCGAAGTAGAATGAGGCTAATTGTCTGTTGCTTTTTGGTCTCCGACGATTCTCCTCTAATTCCTTGAAATTATCTTTGAATCGGGTGAATTGAATTGTTGAATATATATTGGCTCAAATTGTTAAAAAACAAATCTTGATTGGTTATAATATAGTTTTTCAAAACATACACATCATTATAAGATGTAGTAGAAAACAGACAGACAAACAGACAGTAGAATTACGTAATAGTTCTATGTAGCACATCTGTCCTCGCCAATTGTGAACGAGTTGTATCGGTAGAAAAATGAAAACAATGCAATCGGAAATTGTTGCACATCGTAGGACAAAAGATGTGATGATGAAATACTACAATAAAATGTGTGAATAAACTTCAGACTAATAGCAACTAATAATAATAATAATATTATCATTATTGATTGACTGACTGATGGTGTATCTTGGTTTTGAACACATCCCTAACCTTCCCTCTTATTCCAATTGCTTCTTGGATATACGATAGAGCTGTGGTTCATATAGGCCTAGACAGGCACCCAAACATCCTTCTCCACTTGACAAGATTAAGTCAGTTAGGTAGTATCACCAGCCCTTAGACAATAGTTGTGCCTGATTGTCAACTGCAAGTGGTTGCTGTTATTGTTGTTGTTGTGTAATATATGTTCTTTCTCCTTCGATTGCTATCTGCAGGAGTGTGTGTGTGCGGGGGTGTGTGTTGGGGTGATGGCGAAACTTTACAACTTCATCAATTTTAACTATCTGTATTCTTGTAAACATCCATTATTTTGGTGTGGTTGTGTTCTCTGAGCTGGATGGTTTGGTTGCGAGGCTTTCATTGCTCTACTGAGCAACATCTTCAGCGCATACTTCGATGTGAAGTGAGCTTTTAGAATTCTCTATGAGTTTATTAGTCATCTCTTCTAGTAACCCTGAACGTGATTGGTTGTTTTCGTGTTACATTTCACCCCCTAGTTTGCTTGTCTCGGTGCTGGCTGCTTCTTTGGTCTGAATGTCGTTAGTCATTCCTTCTGCTAACCTTGAACGTGATTGGTTGTTTTTGTGTGACTTCTTACTTTCTAGTTCACTTGTTTTGGTGTTGACTGTTTCCTTGGCCTGAAGTTTGGCTTTGTTTTTGTGTGAATTTCTTCGTATGGATTGGTATATTTTGTCAATCTCTATGTGTCTATTGATTGCTGATTCATTTGAATACCAGGCCTCTAGGAATTCTCTGGCATTTTTGCAGTTCCCTTTGTCTAAGATTTGAACATTGTCCCAGTCGAATTGGTGCCCGTGGTTGTCTGCATGTAGTGATATGAGGGAGTGTATGTCGTGTCTTTTGACAGCTAGAAGAGATGACTAATAAACTCATAGAGAATTCTAAAAGCTCACTTCACATCGAAGTATGCGCTGAAGATGTTGCTCAGTAGAGCAATGAAAGCTTCGCAACCAAACCATCCAGCTCAGAGAACACAACCACACCAAAATCATCCACCTGAGCTACAAATCATCTCTATTATATCTACATCCATTATTCCACACATAGAATGCCGTAAGTATGATGATGATAATAATAATAATATCATCAAGTTGATAGCTCAGAGTATAAAACATCCACAATTGATATTTCCGTCATCTGGCACAATTGTTTTGTTTTATTGATTCATACAGCCACTGGGGTGTGTTGTTGTTGTAGTTGTAGCAGTAGTAAATCTTCCTTCTTATGTTTATAGTCAATTTTTTTATACTAATGTCTATCCTCCAGTAGGCGGTGACTAATAAATAATGCGTTCGATGGGGAATGTGTGTGCTTGTGTGTGTGTGTACGCATTTACCTGCTTTCCTCTTGACTTATTTGCGCATACCTTAAGTGTGTGATGATGTTGATGATGGTGGGGATTGGAGAAAATAAAACTAAAAGGGCAAAAAATGTGTCAATAAATAAGGAGTTCCCCTATATACATATATTCAACGGACATGACAACAGGCTACAACAATCGCATAAATGATTAATTAATTAATTAATTATAATTACTCTTCGAGAAAAGGCTTTTTTGTACACAGTTATGGTTTCATATTTGTGTATATATAAATATCACACTAGATTTCCACACTTGAATATTCCTTCTTCTTCTTCTTCTCTCTCTCTCTCTCCCTCTTTAATTACAGAAAATCCCACATTGGAAAGTCTGCATGGATCTTCGTCAAGTGATACCATGAATCGTGGAGATGGTGGTGGTGGTTTACAGCAAAGACCGCTTAATAAAGATCAATATGATAGACGGTAAGTTGTATGTCTTTTGAAAAGACAGACAGAGAGAGAGCTGTGGAGTAGGTTCAATAGTTTCACAGACGTATTTTATTTATTTATTATTTTATTTTATTATTGCTGGATGATTAACTCATCTTCATGAAGTTGTACTCTTTTCACGGCTTTGAATCATAAATCACTTGATATTTTTGGTATGGAATACTAAGGTATGTTTAATTTATGGTGTCTAGCAGTAGGGGCTGGGATATGTTTTATCTCATCTTAAACCTTTCAGCTGGGCGCGTACCTCTACCCCCCAAAAAGTAATTATGTCCCACTGATTAGGTAAGAGAAAAAGAGCAAGTCAATCTTTGAGGTGTTTTATGGATTGCATCGATTTGAGATAGTTCCGCGCTTTGAGTTTTTGAGTTGAATGGGGGGGATGTGCCGAACTGGTGACAGAGACAGACACAGTATTCACAAATACTTGCTAGTCTTCACCAACACAACGTATCCAACAGTAGTTACCTGATCGATCTCCCAGTTTGCTACTTAAGTGAGAACACACAAGAGATGAGACAGGAAAGTACATTTACTAAAAGGAACATTCATACATAATACATATGTGGGGAACAAAGAAATACATAATGTATATATTGGCCAGTTGATGTCGGCGTGAAAGAAGACAAACTATAGAGAATACCGTACATGCCTAACGAAGTAGGCGCGAGCAGGGGTTAACCCATTAGTTGTTTGTTTAACTATTTAAGAGACAAGGGATTGTTGATCCTTTTCCAGACAACCTATCCATTCACATATCAGGTTGATATAAGATAGGATTGGAAAATGGTTATGAGTAAGAATTGAATAAAAGAATGGCGTCAATAATAAATTGAATGTTTGGCAGTTAATTTGAGCTGCTTAGAGAGGGAAGTGTAAACTGTCTGTGACTAGGACTTTTTAGACGCTAAGAACACCTCAATGATTTTGGGATGTAGTATTTCAGCACTATCTTATAGGATGAAATAAAACATAACTTTTACAGTGGTTTCCAGGAATATGGAGTGGTGACGAGCAGTTATCTTTTTTTTTAATGTGCTTTGAAGTTTCTTTAGTAAATAGAGTCGCTAGCTTCCCACGTTCCAACCTTCCCTTTTTTCCTGAGCTTAAGCCTGGCTCTGACTCCATACTGAAGATCTGATGGCAGGCCAGAAAGAATTAGCAACAAGAAACTCTAGGAGCGAAAGAACCAGCCAACCATGAACCTATTACTCGAAAAAAAATGGAAATGGGTTGAACACACACACACTAAGGAGATGGTTGAATGACATTGCTCAATGCAAGCCATCGCTCCAGGCGGGGGAGGGGATGACGAGTTGGCCGTTGGTGCAAGAATGACACGAAGCAGACCATGTGAGGAGGAGGAGGAGATGAGAAACTATGATCAGTTGTGCTCAAGAATCCTTATATTCCAGTTGGAACGCAAAAGAACAATAATAACAATACATGCAGTTAAAGAGTCGTTCGACTAATTTCTGTTTAATTTTTCGAAAGCATTTCAATGGTTATTCGTGTTTCAATCGCCATACTTTAGTCTTACTGATTATTGACTCTACAGTTAACAGTTTGAAGAGCAGTTGCCTTCCTTTCCATCTGCTTTCACAGATTCCCTAACTCCTTTTTTACTCGATCGTCTGTGGATATTCCATTCTACCCTACGATTACTTTTGCTTTCATAAATGATAAAAGGCACATCATCAATCATACTGACGCGTTTCCGCGGGTATCACATTCTTCCTCTTGAGGGAAAAAGTTTTCCTGATTTCCATCAAATAATTTTATTTTATTTTACTCTGTGGTTTTTAAAGTTTCAGTAGCGTTATAGCACAATGCCCGCCCCCCCAACCCCAACCCGTCTCTCTTTTCACCTCTGAAGACTTCCTTAAAGCTTATTGGGCTACAAATGACGACTGTAAGATAGGATAATAAAGAAATTCATTATTGGATTTTCATCATGAGCTGACATTAGTTAGAGAACCATTGGAAAACCTGGGAGCACTGGACAGCTGTTTCGTCCTAGTTTGGGACTCTTCATCAGTACGCACCCACTGGGATTCGAACCCAGGACCTTCTGGTTACAAGGCGAGCTCGTACACCATTAAGCCACTGGGACCCGATCCAATGGCCTATGAATTCTGCGTACTGATGAAGAGTCCCAAACTAGGACGAAACAGCTGTCCAGTACTCCTTGCAGGTTTTCCAATGGTTCTCTAACTAATGTCAGCTCATGATGAAAATCCTGTAACCAATCAAATCCCTACAAACCAACACTTGAAAATTCATTATTTATTATTAGTATTATAATTACGCTGAATTTATCGGAGTTTCATATCAAATATGTATTTTACTTTTTACAGTGAGTCAGATGATAAGTAAGTCAAACGGTATAATCGCAAATGATGACAATGATAATAATAATAGTTAAGCTAACACATAGATAGGCTCTTCTCATGCCGACTAACTTTAATTCAGCAATAATAATGATAATAATAATAATACTAAACTTCTACTCATGAATTTATTACTTTTTAGCATTTTGGTATTTCAGTGTTTTAACACTATGGAATGCATGATTGACAGATACACAGTATTTACAGTTTTGTTATGCCTATTATGATTATTATTATTATTATGATTATTATTATTATTATAGTTCATCGATCCAGGTTACCATGTCTCCGAACAACCTTTATATATAAATATACACATAAATATACCTCTACAGACATGCACATAAAGACATACATACATATATTACGCAGAAAATGACAGTGAAAAATGAAAAATAATGTAGATAAAGGGAAGGTATTAAGAGGCGATATTCTCCTTTCCATGGTTCATATAAAGGTAGGTAAACAGACAAAATGCATCGATGATTTAAACGGGGTAGAACATTCGACTCCTGGCTGACTTACGTCGTAACGTGTAACCTTACCCCTGACCCTTGAAGGTTGGAGTGTATGCAGCTGGCAACCCCATGGCGTAAAAAGAAGCACCGGTGCTACTGAAGCTTTGTAGCCCTGTGTGTTCTGCTTGGAAAGCAAATGAATGGAATAATAACTATCATTATTGTGTGTCTGTTGTATGAATTAGCACAAAGGATAGTCTGCATGTAGGACTATTCAATGGCTGAACACAATTCAGCCAGATGTTCATCAGATTTCTAATTACTCGTCTGAACTCGAATGCCCACTGGTGGTAACTGACTGCAGGATAGATTTGTCTGAAATTTCAGTGGAGTCTCCACCAATTTAGGTATGGGAACAAGTACTCACCAATAACATCGGCTGGTGTCATAGTTGCGCTATATGTCCCGAATTGGTAAAAGTTGTGACTGATGGGTTCTTTGAATTCCATGTCAGTGACTGAAATTTTATATGAGTTCGCCTTGTAACCCTGAAGGTCGTCTGGGTTCATTCCCCTCTGATTGGGATGATGATTACGTACTGTTGAAGAGTCCCAAATTAGCGCGAAACAGCTATTCAGTACTCTATGGTTTTCATTGGTTGTGATCAAAATTGAATGTTAATCAGATAGAGATGGTATCATCAACTCTTATACTGTTCTTTGCATAGTTCATTGTGTTACTAGTCAGTAGTAAGTTCAGAGACGAAGAGATATTATTTCTTTTAACAAGAGTGTTGACATCGAGCCAATGAAGTTCATAGTTAGATGTGTTTACTTTGAAATTTTTACTATACGGATAAGTGTAGAAAATTCTACTCCTTTTGGAATATCTGTCAGGACTTTTAACTGACTGACTGATTGATTAGTTTACTCAGGAGTACATCACTGACATAGTATTGATCAGGTTGGTTGACAGTAAAACCAAAACATGACTTCATCAATCAGTGAAATCCACAACGGTTAGTTTAAGCCAGCCAGCCACGTAGGAAGGTGTAGACTTCCTGGTTAGCGTCTCCGGGATGCTAAAAACCAATGGCTGAAGACATTTGATAATTTTGCTCAAAATTGTCTTTCTCGATGATGGCGCAGATGCATCTACTCCTTGTGACTTACAATATCCAGTAAAACTATATTGTTCTTCCATATTTCTATTCTCTTTTCCTCATATTTCTGTTTATTACCTCTGCTTTGAATCTTTTTCCACTTTCCCCTTTCTTACTTTGTGTGCTACAAATAGGGAGTGTACCAAGTTGAACTGGTGCACATTCTTACAAAGTAGTTCTACACAGAAACCAGTCGGTCAGTCAATAGACGTTCCACGTATATAATAAATTAGTCGGTATAATTACACCACAGTAGTTGTTGTTGTGCGACTTCGCTCTCAGACCCCAGACGTCGCGTGAATTACACTATGATGGTTATCCAAGCGACCTTTCTGAAATGGTGTGAGACTTTTGCAGGAGAATTAGTCCCCAGTCAGTGTAGCATATATATGTTATTACGATATATGCGTTCTAGACTATTATGTATGTTTTCTATAGTTTGGTTTGTGAGGGTTTGTTATGTCTTCACGAGTGTGTCGTTGGTAGCGTGGTAGCTATCAGTCAATAGGATTACGGTTATAAATTGTCATTATCTCCATTAAATGGATAAACTTCTTTCATGATAATAAACTATAACAATCGTGATTTAGCTTTCAATTAATGCACACTAATTGATAGTTGTTTTCTCCTGGATCCTAGATTTCAATTTAGTATATTCAGTGAATGCATACGGTACCGATAATTGTAGAGAGATGTCCATGACTGACTGTCTGACTGGTTTCAACGTAGAACTACTTTGTTTGGAGGTGCACCAGTTCAATTTGTCACACTTCCTCCTTGTAACACACAAAGCAAGAGAAGAGAGTAAAGAGAGATTGAAAGCAGAGAGAGAGAGATAGAGATAATAAACAGAAGTGTGAGTGCGGCAAAAAGAAAAGTAATATCGAAGAAGAATATAATTTTATTGGATATTATAAATCCCAAAGAGTGAATGCATCTGCACTGGCCATTGAGAATGAAGATTTTGAACCATATTACCAATTGTCTCTAACTTTCTTCACTAGTTCTTTACCAATCACTCAGCCAACTAGTCTACACCTTTTTACGTGCATGGCTTAAAGTAACTGTTATGGATTTCATTGATAGAGGTGCCCATAAAGCTATTGGGATTGTCTGCAGGACAAAGAATATATTTATTCTTTTCGATAACATCTCTATCAGTTTGTACAGTTATAAGTGTCCATAATAATTAAAAAATTATTGTTACCAACAAAGTTAATGTTCTCTAAATAAGACTGGATAATTTAAATCAATAAATTTCAGTCGAAAAGCATCTGTAAATGGTAATATACATTAAAAAAAATAATAATACACAGAATTGATTAATTTATAGGTTCTACAACGGAGGCCAGGGTAGTAGTAGTGGCTGGAGCTGTTTATTTTGCAATACATAGCTTCGGATGATTTAATAAGCAGACTGTAATGGCATCTGCTATTTGTTTTGATGTGTTTTGTGTACCCAGAGACCTTTGTTAATGTTTTTCGTTACTCAAAAGAGGATAGAAAAAGATACTTCAATGCTAGCTTTATGGCAGTATTTGACTGCGTCGATCGATCTATCGAGAGACTACGCAAATGTTTAGTTGGGAAGGCAGTGTCGAGAAATTACGTCGTACTAATCGAGGCACTCTACTCGAACTCATGCAGCCAGGTTAGAGTCTACGGAGAATTGTCATCTGAAGTGGTGACAACCAGTGGTGTCCACCATAGATGTACTAATGGAATTGACTCTAACTAACTTTAGCGACTCAGGGATTGACTTGTTACCAGTCATGATCTCGTTGCCTTAGAATATGCAGATGATATAGTCCTCCCTCCTAGGTGAAAACGCTGAGAAAATTAATCGGAATCTTCTAAACACATTGGTCAGAAAGAAATCTTCGAGTGTTTGACATGTGTTCTGCTCCTGCTGTGAAATGCAAGCTGATGCTGCAGGACTAGGCTACTTCGAATTTCTAGCCTAAAGATAGGGAGTGAAGGGGTGACTGAGCGAGTTGACCACTTCACTTATTTGGGAAGTTGCATTCACTGCAACATTCTGATTATTGATGGAATCTCAACACAGATACAAAAGACTCGTGTCACATTTGTCAATTTGCGCCATCTGTGACTTAGGAGACGTGATATCCGGCCGGTTATCGACCAACCGGACGGGCGTACTGCACAACAGCAGTTCACTTTGTCCTCCTTTATATGGCTGTGAGACATTGTCATTGGAAGTTGAAGTCACGAAGAGACTATCTGTCTTTGACCGCAGATATTTTTTCGTTCTGTCTTCCATACTATATGGTATAAAAGTCAGAGTAATTTTTAGGTTATCTTTCGGTTGAGTGTTAGGTAAAGAGAGGAGAATTCAATCGATAAGGGGGCACCGATTGAGATGGTTAGGTGAACGTGTGACATTCTACTTATTATCATTCTTTCGAATCTCCATTTCTCTTTGTGTACTACATGGACTGTGATAAGTTGAACGGTTGCATCTTTTTTTATGCAAAGTTCTTATGCATAAAATCTCCGTCACTCAATGGAATCAGTTTTAATGGCTTGTTTACACCGACGCGGTATAACATCGAACTATTGATAGTTTTAGACCACACTACATCCTTATTATCTATCTCCACTATGTTAGGGTGATGTTCCAGAGCATCGCAAACTAAGTCCCTATAATGGCACTAATAATTGGCTGTATAGGGTGGAGATCATTTGACGGGATTCCTTCTTTGTAGTAGTAGTGAGAAGGTAATTCTTTGAGAATAAGTCCAACAGTTCTTAAGATGATAGTTTCTATCGGAGATTGATAGTTAGTTATTTCAACCAACTTTTTAGAATATAAAATATTAATAATAATGATGATGATGATGATGATGATGATGATGATAGCTTTTTCATCACGTGATCCCATTTATTCATTATTCATTGGTTAGTTCTATGCAAAATCATATGACGACTATGATGATATATGTTATAGCTAGAAAAAAAGATCGATAAGCCTTTTTTTCTTGAAATCTATTTTATTGGCCTTATTTATTAGAATCTGAATGGACAGAATATTTGTGTCTTCGTCTGTCTGTCTGTCTATTTATCTGCTGATTGTTTGTGTTTATGTGTCTGTGTATGCATATCCGTATGTACGTGTGTGTGTATGTCTGTGTGTTTAAAGGGAAGTAGATCATGCGATGAAATTAGAAAGTCCAATGAAGCGAGATAATAAAATTGATTACCATTCATGCATATATTATTAAAGGTTTATAACTTATAATTTACATATATGTTTTAATGGTCATCAAGATTAATGTAGCAGTAACGTGAAGATGAACGTCTCCTGAAGTGAAGAGTTAGTTATACATACATGCATACATCCC